TCTCCCTTCATCCACTTTTCGGTTGCATACTGTGACTATTTTGGTGATATCACATGTATTCAAACTCATGAGAAAACATATTTGTGTAATGGTAGTTGTTTTTCAGGTTTTGTTTTCATTTTTTAACCTAAATTTAAGCCAGGTTTGCCACCTCCTGAACCTTCTCCATGAATTCGTAATATTCCAGGGGAAACTATTTTGAAGAGTTTGGAATGGATGCTTAACAGAGATCTTGTCCAGCTCTAAGATTTTAGATTGTCCTTTTGGATTAGACTTGCTGAGTTTAATTGGTTGCCTAATGTTAAAGTGTTTCTGAAAATGAATCTGCTTTACAGTGTTTGGGATCTTCCCAAGTATAGCCGGGGATCTTTGTTCCCCAGAATCCTTCAGCTCTCAAGGAACTATTTAACAAGGGGCCCAGTGACTAGATATTGCCTGAACGTTTTTATTTTATGACATGAGCTCCAAGACGCTGACTGACCTACTGTGAAGTATAACATGTCTTTATTAGCCTTATCAAACAGATGAGCACACAGCTGTCTGCTCACTTCACTAACTTCGGTGGTAATTCTTTAGATGTGAATGTTAGGTAGAAGCTACTGTAGTAACTAACTTAAAAGTTGTAAGTTTAAATGATGAAATGTATACTTTTTGTATTCTGTACAGCTTTGTCCTTTTTAAATATTAAGTACTAAAATGCACTTACTATGTTAGTAAATGTAACGTGTGCCTTCTAGGATGTGTGGTTTTAGGAACTCTAAGGAATTTGTTTTCTAAGTTATGAGATTTTTCTTAGCCTCACTGTATAACAAAGGGTTTATTCATATAATAATGCTATAGAACTTTAGTTTGAGCAAATGAATTTTGACTACATACTGGATTTAGAGGTTAAGAATAAGCGTATCTGTTTTATTCTTTTATTCTTAGAACAAATGGATAAAGTATGCAATAAATAATCCTTACCAAGTAAAGTTTAGCAAAGTTAAGAGATTTTTTTTTCTTACCGTGTAATTTCACATTCTTATATATTAAATTTCTGTATACCTTAGTGGACTATTTTATATTGTGCTTTGAGGGTTTGTGATATTTGGGTGCTATGTTTTATTTCAACTGGGGCTTAATTTCCTTTTTTTAAAAAATCATTTTATTAGGGGCTAATACAATTCCTATCACAATCCATACATACATCAATTGTGTAAAGCACATTTGTATATTCATTGCCCTCATCATTCTCAAAACATTTGCTCTCTACTGGGGCTTAATTTCCTTATGCCGAATGTAGACCTGGGTCCTGAGACTGCTGTGATAATACTTTGGTTCAGTGGTTTTTAGCATTGGGAAGTGGTGGGATTCGTTAAAAGGTAGTCTAGCAAAAAAAAAAAAAGGTAGTCTAGCGAGTTGGCATTTTAACTTTGCTTCCTTCCATCATTAAAACAAGTTTTTTCTATCCAGGAATAAGAGACACGTGGAGACGGGAAATCATGGTCACTTATGATGTGGGCGCATCGGCAGCGGGCGTTCTCATGAGTTTGCGTGTCTCTTTTCCAGGTTGAGCAGTAAAAACCAGGCATAAAGTGCTCCACTCGATGGAGTGTTTCCAAGAGATAAGAATGTAGTTAGAGAAGTGGAAAACCCCCTATCCATATCCAGTGTGCATCATCATCATCTGCACATTATCACGGGAAGTGCATATTTTAGTATCAAAAAGACCACAACATCCAAAGTCGTAAGCGCCTCCTTGGAGATTTTTAGAATCTTAAAGAACTTTACCGCCTTACCCTGTCGTCGTCCCTTACAGACCGTGGGTGCAAAGACTTTTCAAGGAACAGTTAGTCTGATCTGTGTTCCTTTTAACACAGTCTTACTCAGTGTTCTTTATGACACTCGGAGTTCAGGTATAGACTGTTTAGCTGTATCATCAATGTATTGTTTTCAATTCTGTTTATAAACCCAGTAAGAGATAGCTATTGTTTCACCCAGATAGCATTCAGAAGGCAGAGCCCAGGGGTTATGCTTTCAATTTTATTTTAATCCAAAATAAGATGAAGTAAAGGCTCAAGATAGGCCTTGGCAAATGCCAGCCCTAGAGCCATGGTCTGTGAGGCAGACCACGTGAGGCAGAGAGCAATGATGATAGTCAACAAAACAGTTCAGAGACAATGAGCTACACCTTCTCAGGTAAGTAGGAGAAAACATGCCTCAAAATGAAAAATAGTCTTGTAGAATCATTGGCTGATATATAATTGCTTTTGTTTCCAAATGCAAGCATTAATAGAAGCTAGACATTCATTCAAAAGAGGCCATGTACCTAGTGTGCTAGAGAAAGATATTGGAGAAGCTGTTGGGTAAAATCCAACAGATGTTGACTGGTCCACTAAAATTTCCAGGGACGGAGAAATGATTGTGTTTGGCTTTGTTCATGAATTACAACACTGCTTGATGAAAAAGTTAGATAGCAAAGCGATACCTCTGGGCCTAGGAGCTTCCATTTGGAAAGTTGGCACTTTTCTAGTACAAGTCATCCCAGTCTGAGTCTTAGTAAACAGTAAATTAGCTCGATAACCGTGTCATCAAGTCAGCTCTGATGCAGAGTGACACTCTAGGACAGAGTAGGTGTATTCTTGTGGGCTTCCAGAGCTGCAAGTCTTTACAGAAGCAGACAGCCTCTCTTTCTCCCTTTAGGAGTGACTGGTGGTTTTAAACCTGGAACCTTGTGGTTAGTAGCCCAATACACAATCCACTATGCCACCAGGGCTCTTGGAAAAGATAAATGAGCAGTTATTATAGATAGCTGTTCACGTGTCCCAATCTTTTCTTAAAGTAAAAACCAAACAAAACACTGTCTTAAATAATATTAAATTGAAGTATTTTTGTTTATTGAGCCACGGTCCTAACAAACATTTTTTTAATAAAATCTTAGTACAGAAAAACAACAATGACAAGCTATATAATACTTGGCTGTGTTAGGACAAATGTATACAAATGGGGGCTCTTAAAAAATGACAAATTGGTAAGATCCATGCTGGTCTGGCGTAGGTTTTCATAATTAGCTTGAAGAGAGCATGTACTTTTGCCTGGTGAGCAGACTGTTCTGTAGGCGACGGAGGGGACCAGGGCAGGAAGGTCTACTAAAGTAAGACGGTTCTACCTTTATGACGATTCAAAAAGGACTTCCCGTAGGCCACACGGGCCCACAGAAACGGCAGGGAAGGTCTGCAAGCAGCTTGTGGAGAAACACATACCCCTGAGGAGCACGTGGACTTTAAAAGTTGCCCCCACACACACACACACACACACACACAAATGAATTCACCGATGCAACCCTGAGCACCTACTATCTACACCAGGCACTAGCAACCGATAAAGAGGACATTGGTAAAGCTTATGTTTAGATTGGTCTTAAAAATACCTTCCTCTTAGTCCCAGGGTCCACTGGATCTTCTAAAGTCTGTATGTTAGGGGAAATTTTGCCTTTGAAAAAAAAATATGGCAGGTTGCAGCGATTAAAAAAAATCTAGCATTTGTGAGGCCAACTGGCATAGTGGATTAGGAGTAAGGAAACTTAGTCCTAGTCTGCTTTCTGACGAGCTGGGTGCCCTTACGCACATTTCAAGCCCCTCTCAATGAGGAAAAGGAGACGTGGGCTGCATTTATGGGAGATGAGAGCAAACGGGCGCAGAATCATCTGTTACTGTGTGATGTCTGGGTGACCGAGCCCACTCCAGAGCGCCCAGGAGAACTGGCCCCGAGGGTTTTCCAGACAATCTTTCCAGGGGCAGACTACCAGGTCTTTCTCCCTAGAAGCAGCTTATGGGTTCAAACTTCTCACCTTGCAGTTAGCCATCCAGCATTTAGCCACCTGGCACCTGGGCTCCTTCCAAGAAAAGCCAACTCACTGCCATTGAATTGATTCCAACTCATAGCTACCCTATAGGGCAGGGTAAACAACTTTACAGGAGTGGAAAACCCTGTCTTTCTCCCACGGAGTGGCTGGGGTTTCGAACTAATGACTTTGAGGTTAGCAGCCCAAAGTGTAGCCACTAGGTCACCAGGGCTCCTGGGAGATCATCCAGTTCTGTGCTTTTCAAAGTTTTCCCCCAGGAGCCCTTAGTTCAATTGAAAATACCATCTAGACGCTCCGATACAAAATGAATGAAAGCAAAATCACTTGGAGGGAGGGAGGGAGGGCAGCCCCCAGACACTTAGCCCCTTCCTTCCTTCCCTGACCCTAAAGTGGCCCATGAGGGACTTCACAGAACAGCATTGGAAAACCATACATCTAGTCCAAACCCTCACTTGCTAGAGGAGGAAAGACGGTTTCCCAAACAGAAAACAGAAAAAACCCTAAAACTCAACTACATTAAGTTGAAGCTGACTCATAGTGACCCTATAGGACAGGGTAGCATGGCTCCTGTGAGTTTTCTTAGACTGACTGTAAGGTGGCTTCCAACTGCTGCCCTTGAAGTTAGCCCCGCTCGTAACCAGGGCTCCCCTCAAATAGAAGCAGGGGCTAAATAAAATACTTGTAAGACACTCATTGAAAAAAAACCAGATTGTCAAGAAGGAAGTGTTCTATTTTAATTTTCTCAAAATTGCCCCTTTATGAAAGGGAGCTTTGAAATGGATTTTAAGGCAGCCAGCCAGCCAGCCGGAGGCTGAGATGAACAATTACCAACTCGCTCTCAGGGCCTGCAGAGGAGGGTGGCAGCCACCCGCAGCCCTCACGTCGTCATCTGGCGTAGGGCCACGAGAAACCCTGGCCCCAACCATCCAAGCACTGACGGCTTCAAAAGAAGTATTTGGAAAAGTAGGAACGAGTTCAGACAAGTGACCAGCTCCCTGATCTATTGGGGCAGTCATCCTCTGTTACTAGAAATATCCAGAGAAGTGGGCATGGGAGATCTGACGAGGAACAGTGTGCCCACCCCCATGACCAATTTAAATGTTCTTCAGAGGCATCCTCCCCGGGTTTGGTATGGACCACAACCAGAGTGGAAATGCACGTCCATCCGGGCCCTATTCGGTTAGGGCGGTGATCTCCTCTGATTTCATGGCGTCGGACAGGAAGCTGAGCTCGTTGCATAAGGTCTCGTATCGGAAAGCCATCCGGATCTGAGCAACATTTGTCTTTCGAATGTCATTTCCTTCGGGTCCTTCTTTATAATAATTCCTCCCCAGAAACTTTTGTTTTTCCTGTGGACCAATACAAATGCCGGTGAAAGGGCAGACTTTGGGGACCCACGCAGGAGACTTTAACATCGGCCCTAGAGAGGCAGACTGGTCCCCCCCACCCCCAGGCTGGCCCTCACGCAGGTCAGCTTTCCAAACTTCCTCTTGCCTGCCGGCCCTCAAACTTGTGCGCTGGCAATCATGGTCATTACCTTCATCACCGACTGCACTGCGGGTAAGATAGGAGTTAACCAGGCCGCTGCCAGGAAAGTCTCGGGGAGGGCCATCCCAGGTAACCCCACCCACCCAGGAAGAATCTGGAGCGTGACCGCTTCCCTTCCTGCTGCATCACCCAACAGGAACATCCCCGAGGCAGCCTGCTTCCTGTGCCAGTGACGTCACCCAGCACAGGTTCCCAGGGGCCCAAGAGACCAGGTACAGCCATGCTGCTCCTCCCGGCCTTCTCAGGAGTACCCAAGAGAGCACAAGTGGGCGCCCCTGACAAATTCATGTTCTCACAGCTTAGGGGGTCCCTGCAGCGCTTGCCTCCTGGGAGATCTCCACCCCACACGGAATCTCTGTCTGACCCCACCTCTGTGCTCACTGGTCAAAAGCGATGGGCTCCAGGGACAGCCTGCACTACGAATTCTGCCTCGTTAGCATGTGGCACCAAGGTCGGTATTCAGTACACCTGGTGATCAGGGAGAGGACTGCACACATGCATAATTCAACCATGAATTGTAGGGAGCTTTAAAAAACTACTTATGCTCAAGCCCCATTCCTAAAGGTTTTTTACTCAGTTTAGGCACTATTCATCTGCTCAAGCAATATTGAATACCTGCTAACCTGTTTCCCCGGAAGTAAGACATCACCCAAAAATAAGACCTACTTACAGTTTTGCCTCTCGTTGAAATAAGTCATCCCCCCAAAAATAAGGGTTTGGATTGTTATGATGCTGTTCAAAAGATGATGACATGACTGTCATTGAATAAATGAGTAAATGTACCATAGACTGTTGTACATGGAAATAATGGTAGTAACAAGAAATTCTTGATACTGTAGGATTCAGTTTGTCTGATTATGCTGGTTTGTGATGACAACTACTACCGTACCGTATACAGGTAGTAAATTTCCTTTTTTTTGTTGTTCAGCAATAAATGTGTACTGTATTCTTCTTCATGGAAAAATAAGATATCCCCTGAAAATAAGACCTAGCGCATCTTTGGGAGCAAAAATTAATATGACACTCTTATTTTCGGGAAAGCATGGTAGGTGCCAGCACTCTAGGTCTGGGAGCAGTACTGCTGGACAGTCTGCCCTTCGCAGAACCCAGAGTGAATAGTACAAGCATGCACTGAGGAGCCAGAGAAGGAACAGTGGGGCGAGTGGCTGTTGTAGGATGGGTACAGGTCTGAGCAAGGGAAAGGGGTTGTCTTGACAACTGCTGAGGCTCCCGGAGAATCTGGAGCTTCTGCTCATCACTGCCCCCTAGTGCCTACAGCATGCAGCGGCAGTTGTTGGAAGGTACCGAGGGGCAGGGAAGTGAGTACCTGATGGGAGAGGCCGCTCTGCAGCACACTGTTCCTGGCGATCTCACACAGGTCACACGTGCTCAGCTTCCACACCTGGGCCGCGATCGCGTATTCTTCCATGAGCGCTTCCTAGAGCCGCCCCGAGAATCCATCCATTAGATGGCAGAATATTCATTGCCATGCTGAACACACTGCCAAGCTCGAAACATTAAGCACCAAGTCACAGACAGAAGTTTTCTTCAAGAACATGGCACCTTGATAATCGAGCAGCGTCGGCATGATATCAAAAGCACACAAAACATCATCATCTTTGAATTAAATCTTGGGTGACCAAAAGAATATTAAAAAGAACTCCAACCCATCTAATTTGTTGACCTGCTCACAGTGAGTGCCTGCCTCTGCTGTTGGAAGCCCTGAGCTGGGCACTGGGATGCCAGTCTCTGCCCTCCTGTGACAGGCACCTGTTTAGTACCTGCTCAGCAGCTTCGCTCTGTGTGGAACACTGGGCAACTGCACAGGCGCGCTGGTGGCAGGTGGTGATGTGTTGGGCCGCTAACTGCAAGGTCAGCAGTTTGAAATAGCCATCAGCTCTGAGGGAGAAAGGAGGCAGTCTACGCCACTAAAGACATACAGTCTCAGAAACCCGCAAGGGCAGGTCTGCTCTGCCCGATAGGACCGCTGTGAGTTGACATCCACTCAGTGGCGGCAAGTTTGCTCTCGTGTTTTGGCTCCACCATAAAGCTCATATGAATAAATGGCCAAGGGCAGAGATGGAACACTAACAGGAGAATGAGAAATGGTCACACACAGTGAGGTGGTGGTGACCCCCAAAGGGGTTGGGTGTAAGCTGGGCTGGGCTTTATCTTCTGAGAAGTGAAGTGCTGTATGTGAACCCCCGCCTTCTGCCCCCCCTTGCTTCTGTGTCATGGAGCGGGGCTCTCAGTGTGGTGCAAGAAAGCCTCAGGGTCTCCAAGACCCTTTGCTCAATCTCCCCTCCCAACTCTAGGTCTACAGTGTCAGCTTGCAGCTTCTCTACCCTTGTCACCTGTAGCTCAACAGAATGAACGCCCAAGCAGGTAGGAGAACCCACTCACCTGTTAATTGGATACACGTTTTAATTTCTCAAACACTGTAAATATCAATAGCTGGCGCCCACCTGAATATGAACTCTTTGAGGACTGCAGTGTTTAAGAACATCGAGTCCTGGAACCAAAAGGTTTGAGAACCACTGTCGTAAGAATCCACACCACCAATGTGCCTGGTACTCTTCGCGGCTGCTCTCCATGCAGGACGCCCCCTGCCCTTCCCTTTGCCAGAAACACCCACCGTGTAGGCAGAGTAGTAACAACCCAGGTGAAAGTTATATTAGTGAAGCGACAGTAGGTAACAGTTTGAATACTTGCAGGTGTCCCACCAGGCCCTTTGATTCAGTATCTGAACAAACACTTACAATGTGGTAGGGGCAGAGGGAGAGACAATTTTAGGAAAGGAAAAAGATTCAGAAGACAGAATGTTATCCCCAGTTTACAGATAAAAAGGAAAGGGATTCAGAGGGTCCACACTCACAGAACTAGGAAGTGCCAAAGAAGGAGAACATGACAGTGAAATTGTGGGTCCAGGCATCTCAACAAGGCTCCTAAGAAGACTGCCTCACCTGCGCCACTCCCTAGTCCCACCCCCAAAGCACGGACCGTTGGCTCAGGCCCCTGCAGTGGAGAATTAGGCTAAAACCGATGCCTGCTGGGATTGACACTCACTGCCCGTCTGGCCCCCAAAGTCCTCACCTTTGTGTAGTGGAACTGCATGGGGTCGTCGGTGGAGAGAGACACACGCAGTCCCTTGTGCAGGAACTCCCTCAGCGGGTTTTTGGAATATTCAAGGAACAGGCTGTTATTACTAAGCGGAGACATGGCAATGGGGATCTGAGCAAGGTAGTAGAGGTACTGCAAGACCGGGCTCTGCAAAAGAACCACCGAATTCCTGTGACCCAGGTCAGACACGGCGCGGGGGTGGGGGGGGTGGGAGTGGGGGTGGTGGCAGCGGGTGAGGAAGCATTCATCAATGAGAACCCAGCTCTGGGCGCTGTGTAAGTTCTCAACCCAGTCTCTCCCCTTCCTTCCCCACACCTCTGTGTTCCCCTCGTCCTCTCTGGGACCCGCCTGCCTCCCTGCTGTTGGGCTGGTTCCCTCCTAGCTCCAGGCTGGAGCCACGGTCCTGGCTGGGCCCAGCTCAGGTCAGGAAGAGCCTCTGTCCAGCCCCACCCACTTACTCAACTCCCCGCCCCCACCAGGCACCAGGGGAGTCCGTCCGGAGATGCCCCCTTTTGTTGTGTTGCTTTCGCCCCTGACTTTTAGGTTGAGGATGTAAACACTCCATCCTGAAGGGATGGGAAGGGGTTAGAGCAGTGGTTCTCAACCTGTGGGACATGACCCCATAGGGGGTCAAACGACCCTTTCACAGGGGTCGCCAGATTCACAACAGTAGCAGAATTACAGTGATGAAGTAGCAACGAAAATAATGTTATGGTTGGAGGGTCACCACAACAGGAGGAACTTTATTAAAGGGTTACGGCATTAGAAAAGTTGAGAGCCACTGGGCTAGAGTGGTCTCTGATGTCTTGGAATCCCCGCATAGAAATGTGTCATGTGGTTAGCCCTCCAGGCATCAGGATGGGAGCATTTTAAGCAAATAGCGTTCCTAAGGAAGTGACCTCGAATATGCAGAGAAGGTTGAAAGTACAGGGCTCAAGGTAGCATCATTTACAGGAGTGAAAAACTAGGTGTATTCTGTGTCCAACTGGAGCTGTTGGGTACGCGTTGGACTAATCATTGCAAGGTCCTCAGCTCAAATCCACCCCCTTCTCCATGGGAGAGAGATGAGGCTATCTCCTACAGAGAAGATCCGCAATCCTGGAAGCTCTACCTAGTGTCACTGAGTCAGAAACAGCACAGTGGCAGTGGGCTTGGGTTTGGCGAGTTGTTTTTTAAATCAATTAGATACCAACCAAAGGATAGGCCATGTTCCCAGCAGCCTTTGTAATGAGGAGAGATGTTTTATCACAGCACAGAAAAATGCAGTATTACGGGACAAAGCAAACTGTTGAATGCTTAACCACTGCAGGACCAGGGAGTCTTGTTATAAGAGCAAGCACATTAAAACACGTTTTGGGAAAGAAATCTAACTGAAAACACTAAAAAGTAATACTGGTCATCTCTAGAAAAGTAATAACCAAGGTTCCCGTCACCACCACCATTTCTCCATTTTCTAACTCGAAATGTGTTTGTAATTAAAGCTGGAACCAAGGTGACTACCGTCAGACCGGCATCACCGGCTGAGTGTCCCAGAGTCGAGGGCCCAGGATAGGACAGGCCCCGTGAGGGCCCGCACTAGCTCACCTTCTTGAGGAGCAGGCCATGGGAAATGTTGTCGGCGGTGAGGAAAGCAGACACCAGGTGGGTGATGGAGCCAGCCTCCCCACAGTGAGGCCGGAACAGGAACGTGTTCAGGCCTCGTTCCCTGTAGGCAAAAGCAGGTCATGGGTCTGCCCTGCCGGGGGGGCCTAGAATTATAGGGCCAGTATCTCCAGCTCCCGAGAGACAAGGCCACCCAGCTTATCAGTGCAGCCCAGAAAACATCCTTCCTAAAATGGCAGAAGTCCAGGCCCAGAGCTCCTCGGAGCCAAGAGACATCACCTCTGGAAGAGAAAGCGGGTCCCACGAGGAAGAGACCGGCCCTCACTCCATCTTAGGGCCAGTCCCGATTAGGAAAGGCAGGCAGGAGCCCTTGAAGCCCTTCCTCTGTGCTCAAAGCATGAGTCAACCAAGGCTCAGGGGTGGAGTCGGGTAAAGGGGGCAGAGCTGGAGGCATACCCGGCTCCAAAAGCCCCGCCCAGGACCAGCCCACTAACATGAGGTTGTCCCCATCCACCTGCCCCCTCCCGGCCTTGACCCCAGTCAAAGTCTCCACACCCACAGCTCACATTGACTGAGCCAGGGAGGCACCACTCAAGGCCCAGCCAGGAGCAGGGGGACCGGATGGGGGCGGGTTGAGTGTCCTGCTGCACCGGGCATCCTATCCTGTCCATGGGTACCTTGGTGGGAGGCTATCCAGGTATGGCCGCTTGACTAGAAGTGCCAGGAGGACACAGATTCAGTCTGTCTGGTTGCCTGTTCTGGAGCGCTATCACCCAGCAGGCACAGCCCTGTGTGCTGCGTGAACACAAGTGTGACCAAACGTGTTGTACATGCAGTGCTTGTGAGAGTTGTGTACATGCATGACCATGAGTGTGCACGTGTGTGGTGTGTACCTGCATTGTACAGAGGGTGTATGTCTGCATCGGCATGTGTGTCCTTGTGGGCATGTGTGCGTACACACGTAACACTCTCTGATCCGTGTCTGTGCAGGATACTGGCGAGTATCCGTATATGTAGTAGCATGCGTGCAGCACCGTGTGCGTAGAGCAGCCGGCTCACCCACCTGCGGAGGTTGTTGAGCACCATGATGTTGGCGTACATGTAGTACAGGTAGTAGCTGTAGGGCGGGTTCTGCTCACTGGTCCAGACGTCTGGGCTTGGGCTCTTATCCGAGAACATGTGGTCGCTGTGCTTCGACTCGTCATCTACACTGTCGAACCCCGTCACCTGGGCCGGAGGAAGGGTCCTGAGCATCAAGCCAAGACAGAAAAGAGGCCTCCCAGGGCTTAGAGCTGAGCTGCCAAGTCTCTCTCTGGGTGGCACGTCCGCCTGGCCGAGGTCACTCCCAACCTAGGAGGACTGTGGCCTGCACGTGTCTCTCAGCACTGACAACCCCGTGCAGGTCCACCACGACTTGGAGGACTTGAGGAGAACGGTGCGGCGCTCCAGTATGTCCCCTGGAGAACCTTTGCAAACTCCCATCCTCCCCCTGCAGCTAGACCTCAGCTGGAGCCCCAGTTGGAGCCCTGCATGGCCCTTGGCTGCCCTGGCATCAGGCTGGCTCCCAGAGAGACACTGTACCTGCAGAAGCCACTGGTCACAGGGGCAGCTAACAGCCCCCTCCTCTCCTTCAGGTACAGAGGTGCTTGGGAAAGCAAAGACTGTCCACCTCACACCATAACTCGCCCAAATTGGGGGCTCCGGGGCCCCTGTCAAGCCTTCCAGCCTCTCTCTCCATGTGGGCAGTCAGGGTCGGAGGAGCAGAGGTCCATGAGGGTCCCAGCCAGAATCCTGCCCATCACAGAGTCACATGTGCCCAAGGACAGGGCCAGGATCCCTGTTATGGTGCTCAGGATGGCTTGGATGGGTCTAGAGGGCAGGAGGAGTCTCAGCTCTGCGCAGCGCTCACGGGCCCCACTCTTCAACCAAAGTGGGGCCTCGCACAAAAAGCCCACCCTAACCACCCCTCTCTCCTGGGCAGCCAAGGTCTGCCGAGGTCCCCTGGATGTGTTCCTCGTCCACACCTCCAGGCTCAGCTTAGGCTCTCAGTCCCACCAACCTTCCCGCTGAGCCCTGCTCCACCTACAGAGCCCCTGGCCACCTTTGCCTTGGCCACAGGCTGGCAGGTTCCTGGATTTGCATTCCAATTCTACTTTTTAACTTGGTGACCTTTCCGTTTCAATTTTTTGTGCCTGACATGGGGCCTGTTTAAGGACTAGATGAGCTGTCCTTCTTTGTGTCTAACCGTGGCACGCATGGAGACCGATGAATGAGGAGCACCAAATGGTGACGACAGTGGGATAACTGTGTGGCTTAAATGATGGCGTGTAGGTTACACGGGCTGCTAACCACAAGGTTAACAGTTCAAAGTCACTAGCGGCTCCTTGGGAGAAAGATGAGGCTTTCTACTCATAGCGATTTGCAGTCTTGGAAACCCACAGGGCCAGTTCTACTCTGACCTGTAGGGTGGCTGTGCGTCAGAATCAGCTCGATGGCCGTGGGTTTGGTTTGGTTTGGAACACTTGGTAAAGGTATCCTTGGCCGCTGAGGGCTAGGAGTTGGACTGCTACCCACAAGGTCTGCAGTTCAAACCCACTTTCTCCTCGGGAGAAAGTGAGACTGTCTGTTCCTATAAAGCCTTACAGCCTCACACACCCTCTTTAGGCTCTCTGTAAGTCAGAATCGACTGGGCAGCAGTGGGGTTCTGTTGGGTTGTCTATGTTATTAGGTGCCATCAAGTTGGCTCCGACCCACAGCAACCTTGTGCACAACAGAAGGAAACACTCATGGACACCCTCCTCATTGTGCCCAGGCATGCAGCCACGATGTGTGTCAGCCCTCCGCCCACCGTGCTCCTGAACACCCTGAGCTTTCACCACTGGCCCAAGCTCCCATCATCCGGCTCCCGGCCGCAGGAGCGCTGCACTCACACTTCTCGCCTCTTCCCCCGCCTGCCTCCCAACTTCCTCATCCTCCAGGCCATTCTCCACATGAAGGACCCGAAGGATCCGGTCTCAAACCTAACCTCTGTCCCTCAGCTCATTCAAACCCTTTCCTAGCAGCTGTGCCTCTACATGCACACACATAAGCACATGTACACACAGCCTCAGTTACCCCTCTGCATGCCCCAGGCCTCTGCACCCCCCACCCTCCTCGTCAGAGATCTACTTTGCCACTCACCGCCTGCCCCCTCCACGCTGGGTGCCTGATCTTGTTAGGTCTCCCCCCTCATCCCTCCTTCCCACCCCCACCCCCACCCTCCACCACCACTGAAACAAACCAAATACGGGAGAGAAACATGGCTTTCTCGCACGGCGTAAGGAGTTTCACTGGTAAAGGCCAACCCAAGCGGGTGGAAAGGTCGGCAGAAGCAAGGCTGCTGCCTGGGCAGGGAGGGCCCAGTCTTCTCAGCCCAGTCGCTCCCCTCCCTGCTGCCCTTCCCAGCACGGGCACCTGGCCTCAGTACGCTTCCCCCAGGGATGTCCCTGAGGAAAAGGGGCCTCTCCTCCTCCCTGGACAAGGTCCCCTTATTTTAGGAATTCATTTCCTGGGGCTGCTAGCCGCTTGTCTGAAGCACACAAGCCAGGGTCTTGGCCAGGCAACGAGGAGACGCCCCTCTGCCTCCCTCCACCACCCCTACCACCCCCTACCCCGGAGCTGCCTGGGACACGCAGACGTACATATTTGAGGAAGAGGTGGAGCTCTCGGTGGTCCTGAGGGTTGACAGTGGCCTTGAAAAGGGGCAGGAAGATGTTCTCCAACATCTTCCCGAAGTTTGGCAGCAGCTTCTTGGACCTAAATATGTCACTGGGGAGAGCGAAAACTCACTAATTAGTGGGTTCAGCTTCCCTGTGGCCTATCTGTGATGGTCCCCAGTCACTTCTCAGGCACCCCGAGTCCCCAACAAGGCCTGCAGTTCCCAGCAAGGTCTTTGGGCTGCAAACCAACACCCACCCCACCCGCATCAGGGAGCGTTCTCCAGCCAGCGGTGCCACTCTGGCTGACCGGGGTTCTGAGAGGTGAGTCCTCAGAGCTAACCGAGCCCCCCACCTGGTCACCTTCTCCCTCAGGGTTCGCACCCAGCTTCTCTCAGTGAGGAGAAGGCCAGGCAGGGCTTTGCATACAGACAGTCTTTGAAAGAGTTCGAGTGTCACATGGCCTAGCCCCACCCTCCCTGGGGCAGACTCAGCAGCCCACAGGCACTCACTGGCACCCTGGAGGGCGGAGGGCAGCCTCACTTACTAGATCCTGGGCACCTGGATGATCCAGCGCATGTTGGGTGAGTAGACCTTGTGCTGGATGAACCAGCGGGCCAGGTTGGGCCACTCCTCAGGACTGCGGCCATAGATGGAGAGCCTCGGCTCGGAGTACTGGTACTTGCTCTCCTCCAGCTCCCGAGCCACCTCCTGCCACCGAGAAGAGCTTAGGTCAGCCCAAGAGGCCCCCCCCCCAGGGCCCCACCCTCGGAGGAGGGCTTGGAGAGGGGTGGGGGAGCTCACGCACCTTGACCATCCGAGCAAAATACTCTCCTCCAAGGTAGTTTTCGGTTTTCAAATACAGGTCTCGCAGCTCACTGGCCCCCATAGGGTTGTACTTGGAGTTGAACTTGTCAAAACGATGGAATGTCTGCCGGCCCTGGAGAGAGACCACCAGCCCATCAACACATTCTGTCTTCACCACCCACATCCTCTCTCCAAGCCGGCGGCCACCATAAGCATGTCTTTCTTCTGCATCATTTCTGGCAGCCTGAGGGTCCAGCATGATGGATCCTCACAGTCGGCCGGGGACCCGTTTGTGAGGCCCTCGGTGAAGGTGACCTTTCCCTTCGTGACCTCCTTTAGTGTCTTAATTACCTTGTAAAAGCCAACCAGGCAGCTGGAATTCATCATTTTATACAGCATAAAACAAGAGCTGCTGTTCAAGGCCCCTCTGGTGGACTCAAAAGCTCAAGTGAGTTGCCTACAGGCAGAAGTGGGATGAGGACTTGGGTCTGTCTGACTTCAGGTTCCACTCTTTCCCCTGCCCCCCCTGGCTGCCCCCCAGCCATTCTCTCCTCGCTGGCCAGATCTCCGTGCTGGAAGACAAAGCACTGCTTGCAAAGTCAGGTTCACACGAGCACTTTCAAGGCCAAATCCCAGAGGACTGAGGCCCTACCACACACTGCTTTGTGCTGCAGGCCCTGGACAGGCACACGTACCGCGTGGACATCCAGCGAGTCCACGGTGAGGTCGTAGGGGTCCATGTGCAGGCTGTCGAACACCTGCCGCAGGCTGATCTTCCGGCCCCGCTTCTCGGCCACAATCCGGTCAGGCTCCGTCTGGTACGTGTGCTTGATGAAGCGCAGCAAGTGCTTCTGGTTCATGCAGGCCGTTGCATGGATATGTGTGTCCACCTGAAAGACAGCACCCGATGGGCCCTGAGCTGGGCCACCACCACCACCACCCCCCCAGCAACCAAGCCAAGGCGCCCGACTCCCACTAGGGACCTACAGGGCCTCAAGATCTTAGGAGCCACACAGACAGCCTCCACCAATGCCTGAGCCCTGCCCCCTTTCTCCTCTCCACTTCCCAATGGGCTCCCACCCTCGCCTTGTGGCAACAGGAGAAGTTTCTAAAAAGTAAACTGAATTAAGTCACCCAGTTCAGAGATTGTCAGTGATGCTCAGCATCTTCCAGCTCCTTGGTTTACCTGCCTCTCTCTCCACACCGTGTCATTTTGCCCAGGTGCATCCTTTGCCTGCAGGCCTTGCTCCTCCCACCAATCTCCCAGGGGCCCTGCACTTGGAAGCTAATCCTGATCCCTTAGGCACCTTCCCAGCCTGGAAGCCTGCACAGGCAGTTCCCTCCATCGTTCTCTGTCTACTTCCCTAGACTGGGAGCTCCCCAAGGGCGGGAGCCATGTCAGCACATCTCAGCCTCCAGAGCCCGATGTGAAGTAGTAGTTGACTGACTAGGTGGGTGAATATGTGGTAGGTTCCAATAGTGTTGGAATGAACCCATAGTGTGGATAATCTCTACAGCTTCATAAAACCCTGAGGGCCCACCCCAGGCTCCACAACACCTCACTCTGCCTAGCGACCTCTTTTGAAGGTCCAGAGTGCTCCCAAAACAACGCTCCCCCCCCGCCCCCCCCCGTGGGAGTTAGGGAGCAAGGAAGACATCAGGGACCAGCCAATCATCGCACACTTCTTTGGCTTGGATGGATACAATTCATCCAAACCTCAAGGTGCCCAAATCCAAAAAACCACAGCTCCACTCACCCTAAGCCCGAAGGGGGGGGTGGGGGGGTGGCAAACCCTAAAGCAGAAATGCACAGGGGGCGGGGGCTCCTTCCCACACCCCGCGGTGGCGGGAGGCCCACAGAAGGCACCAGAGAGAAGCTCCTGGGGTCCTCAAAACGCCCTGTGGGGTTTTCCAGGTCTGTCTCGTGCATCTTCCTGGACAGCACATTGTCCTGCTTTCCCCCCTTTTCTGTCCCGCCTCACCTTTCCAGACACTCCAGGAGACGCATTCTGAATACCAAAATGGAAATTTCTTGGGGCCTGGCCCCAATGCTCGTCTTCTCAGTGTGCATTCTCTCCAGAGGTGACCTGCTCCTCACTCCGGTCCTGACTTACACTCTCCTCTCTCTGCTAATACCTAGTCTGCTATTGCAGTCTGCTAATTCCTAGTCTGATATCTACTGGATGTTTCCACTTGGGTAACACAGATCCCTCAAGTTTAATGTAGCAAAAGTTGATTCCATCTCTGGTCCATCCCAGGTTTCCACAGCTCAGGAAATGTGGGTGTCATCTTCTACCCCCCCTCCTTCCCCAATACTCAGTCCAGCCAGTCTTACCTTCCCAGTGTGTCTGAAGCCCCTACAATCTCTCCAGCTTCATGGTTGCCCCAAGAGACACAGCCTTTTACTCTTACTCTGCAGTACCACAGTGACCTCCAACTGGGCCAATCTCCTCTGCACACACAGATGCTAGAATGGACTGTTTTGTTGTTTTTAACAATTAACTTTGTGTGTGTGTGTATGTGTGTTACTAAATGCTCTTTACGAATCTTAAGCCGAGAGCCCCGCTGATAAGACCTGACACGGTGAGCCCCCATACCCCTCGTCCACATTCTCCCCCATCTGACTGTGCTCCGCTTGCAGGACCCCGTCCAGGTGCTCAAAGGTGCTGCAACCCCCCCCCTCCCCCCCTTCAGCCACTAACCCTAGAGGACTGGAGCCAGGGCTAAACGGAGAGGTGACTGGTAGGGAGCATTTGACTTCCCTACAGGGTGTCCCAGTGAGGATGACGGCGGCCTCACAGGTCAGGGTGCTGCCAGCTGCCAGACTTCACTCTGGAATGACTGCTGTGGCCGGCCAACCAGGCGCTCTGCCAGGGCTGGGGGGAGGCGGGCTGACCTCTGTTCAAGGAATACTGTCACGCCAAACCAGATCTCTGATCTACAGCCCCTGTCATTGGGCATATCATTTACTCAGCAGGGTTCTGCCAGCCCTTTCTGCTGCCTACCAGGAAGACAGACCACTGGATGTCAGATCAGTGAGACTATTTAAAGCACCAAGGCTCAGGTACCACAGGTGTGAGGCTAGACTCATGGGAGTGTGCGGGGTGGGGCGGGTGCGGGCAGGAAAAGGCCAGCCTGACTTAGTTCAGCTGGTCCAGTTTCGTTCAACCACCTCAGCATGACTCAGTGCATTCAGGGCCTCCGGTTGTGTCTCCCGGCTTACGGTGAAAGCACACGCCCCAGTGAGCCCCAAGTTGAAGGACAAAGGCAGCCGGACAATCCAGGAAGCATTCCATCCAAAGGTTATCATGCCAAGGTGACTATTGAGGAACAAGCGAACGAGGCTGTCACTGGATATCAGTGTTTTCAAATCACCAGAAGATCCAAGTGAATTCCCTGCTTTCACCTAAGATGTCAGTCTAAGCAAAGAGTTTCCAAACAAGGATGGTCAATGCCTGACACTTAAGCCAACACTGGCCCATGGCAGACACCGATAAGCAAGTCCAGTGCTCTCTTCACAAAGCTTCAGGAGTAGCCTCAGGCTGGCCACAGAAAGCGAAACTCATGTATCTCTAATGACACCCGGAGCAAAGTGTGAAATGTCTAACCCTAACCCAGGCCCCAAGCGGCAAACTCAACGAACCCCTGTTCTTAATCTGAGCAGAAAATACGTGTACTATTGACCCGGCCCTACTGGTTGAGGCTCAAGGTGCCATAACCCATCACCTGCTACTGCTATGATGATGCAGCTAAGTCAACAAAGCCCAGCCACACTGACCCATGGCCACACCACACTGGCCTGGTCAGGGACACCGCCAGTCACCACCAACATAAAGAGGTGGCCCTGCCAGCCCTTCTGGCTTTTAAGAAGCCAGTCCTCCCACCCCACTGTAGACTTTTAGGGGAAGTGAAGCAAACCAGGGGAGGCAGACACAGGGCCGGCTGAGTGCAGGCCTGGGACTGAGTTTATGGGTTGGTGGAGGTGCCAGAGAACAGGTCCCTCAGGTCATAGCATGGTTAGGATGCATCCTCCCCACCCCCACCCCCAGACAGTCGGAGAACCCTGAGGACAGGCATGGTAATGCCATATGAGATCCTCAGCCACATCCTGACTGGAGGCAAGCAGAGGGTTGTCCAGACACCACCACTCCAACCAGGGTGACGCGGGAGCCAGAGCTGGAAGCAGGGGGCTACAGGCCTTCTGAAAAAGTGGGTGGGGCTGCGAAAGGCCACGGAAGGGTTTTTCTTAGATGCCCACGTGGGCACGTGCTAGGCATACTGGGTGCACTCTAGGCAGGGCGAAGAGATTGCATAGTGACTGAGGCACCACCTGACTGAACACGGAAGGCTCACAGGGAAGCAACCAATGCTGCTGGGAGGTTAAAAGTCCTGGACATCCCCAAGGCCGACCCCCAGGCTTCTCCCAGCCCACGGCTGAAGCCAGGCTCTCGCCTCATCAGGCTCTCGATCTCAGCGGAGTGGGAGTCCACTACCCTCCCCAGAGGGGCTCCTAGAGGTCAGGGCCCAGAAGGGCAGTCCCAAGTCCAAAGTGGCCTTACCAGCTCTTGCTTTCTGTTGACTAGATCCCCTATCTTAAGAGTAGCCTGGCCTCAGAAGTGATTCTCACGGCCACTTGGGAGGCCGTGCCCCACTTCCCGAGGAAGAAAGCCCACGCGATCGATGGTGCACCACCTGACCGTGGTGGTTTCCCCTGCCAGTGATGCCAAGCACTGCCAGAGGCAAGGAGCTGCTTCTGCACTAGGCACTGCCCTCCCTCAGCCAGGGGCTCTGCTCCTCACACAGGAGACCAGCCCCGCGGTGGGGGTGCGGGGTGGGGGTGTCAGGGGGCTGCAAGGGGCATGGCTCTAACGCACCTTTCTCACGTTATAGAAGTCTCGGTGGGGGTTACTCTTCAACTCTTTGAATTCGGCCATTTCATTTAACATCTCGTGAAGGCTGAACTTGGATTCCAAAAAGTTCAGTCGCCGGTGGCAATATGTTTTCCTGCAGGTTGTGGGGACGGAAGAAACCACGGGTGAGGAGCAGTCGCAGACCCTCTGGTGGCAGAAGGGCCAGGACCCGGGAGGGGGGCAGAGCCTTCTAGCTCTCTCTCCTGGGATCTGCTGCTTGACTCTGTGGGGCTCTGTGACATGAACAAGACATGACAACACGGGCCCACGGAGGCAGACTTTGGAACCTGAGACAGCTCTTCCGTTTGTAGCTTTGTACACTTGGGCTTCGGATGAACAAAGAGGGGAGCATACTCTCTCTGACAGGGCTGACACCCCCAATTCTCAGGAACTCAAGGGCAAGGAGGGTTCTCCTGGTAGTGGGGGTGCCCAGCACATCCACACATCCCTACCACAAGGAACCTTCGGCCATAAGTCATGCCAATCTTCTCCCTTGCCCCCAAACAGCTGCTCCCTTCACCTCCAATCACTGGGGCTTTTCCGAGCATAAAAGTGCCCATTGGCCCTGCTCACAGTACAACCACCTGTCTGCCCAGACCAGCCTCAGGGAGGGACAGTGAGGAGCTTCAGAGCCAGGACTTTGGAGGGCATTTCTCCCGCCTCTCCCCAGGCAGCACGACTCGAACCCTCCTGGCACGGCCAGTCCCCTCCATCTCGGCTAAAAGGGCCCCCTTTATTTGGCAGAGAGTTTCCTGGGAACTAGCCTGTCCTCTGTAATCATGAAGACCAACAGCCAGATGCCCAGGTCACCTCAGAGCCTACTCTGCTTCCCTGGGGACTGACATTCCAAGATAAACCCCAAAAGCAGGAGCAAGAAAGAAGTCCCAGAGCCCTGCACCCACCCCCACCCCCCAGGGACCAGCTGCAGTGGAGTCGATGCCAGCTCGTGGTAGCCCCACGCGGGTCAGAGAACTGCTCTACAGCATGCCCCATGGCTGACGTAAATCACCAGGACCCTCTTTCAAGGTTCAAACTGCCAACCTTGCCGTTTGCAGCTGAGCACATTAACCATCACACCACACAGGGCCTCCTCTCCCTCCCCGAAGCCCCTCCCTCCCCAGGGCACTCTCAGCACAGCCACTGCACCGGGGATCCCTGTGCCAGCTCCACTGTCCTGCTTGCCCTCTCTTGCCTGGGCAGAGAGAGGGCAACGCTCACTGCACATTGAGTCAATCCCGACTCGTAGCCACCCTATAGGACAGAGTAGAACTGCCCCTATGGGCTTCTCAGACTGAAACTCTTTACGGGAGTAGAAAGCCTCGTCTTTCTCCCACAAAGCGGCTGGTGGTTTTGAACTGCTGACCTTTCAGTTAGCTTTCCAATGTGTAACCCATTACACCACCAGAGTAAGTTGCCAAAGAATGGCAAACTGCCCGGGAGCTGCAGGGTGGGCCAATGAAGAGAAACTGCAACCAAACCCCACAAGCATGGGAGATGGGGAGGTGTACGTGCAGGGAAGCCCAGAGCAGAGGGCTGGCCTCTCTGGCCCTCCTCAGATTAGCTCTCATGCAGGGAGAGGCGAGCTGGCAGCTGACTTACGTGGGGCCATCAGTAATGAGCGCCAGGATGTGGCTCATGTCCACGGTGTAGGTCTCCAGGTCAGGGTAGGGCAGGCTGTGGGGCTCCTGGCGCTCCAGCATCTGCTTGTTATCATACACGAAGAGGATGCCAGCCTGCATGTGGATCAAGTAGTCCAGGTTGGGGGGTGCTTCGTCCAGGCAGTAAGGGTCTTCCTGGGGCTCTGGGGGAGGGTGGAAGTCTGCAAAACAGGATTGAGTGATGGCAGAGGGGCCCTGTCCCCAGGAACTCACAGGGTCCAAATGTCATCCCTGGTGGGGCCTGTCCTCTGGGAAATTCACCCACCCTCACTGACCATAGTGTCATTACCACCATCCACATTTCTCTGAAAAACCACTGTGCTTGCTCCCCATCAGATTGAAGTTCTTTGGAGGTAGAGACAGAGGGCTGCTCTGTTTACTGCTCTGTCCCCACTGCCTGAACAGCCCCTGGTTCTGAAACGCCCCCTGGCACCAAGCTGGCACTCCATTTTTAAAAAGTTTTAATTTCGTTGAAATGGGTTTCACCTTCCAAAGTGCTCCAGGACCCTTGGGGGTGTTACAAGGGGCAGCTACGTCTTCTCCCAGTAAGTCAACTGACAGCACCTGGGACTGCCCAGTGGAAATCATTGTCCCTGTCCTCCTAATCTTCCTGGGCTCCGGAGAGCCAAGAGGGTAGATGAGAAGACCTTCTCCCCACCAACCTCCTGGGGAGACACAAAACAAGACCAGCTTGCTTGCTTTCTAAACTCATTTTATTGGGGGCTCATACAACTCTTGTCACAATCCATACCTCCACTGTGTCAAGCACATTTATACGTTTGTTGCCATCATCATTCTCAAAACATTTGATTTCTACTTGAGCCCTTGGTATCAGCTCCTCATTTTCCCCTCCCTCCCCGCTCCCCTTCCTCATGAACCCTTGATAATTGATAAATTATTATTTTTAAGGTAGAATTGGGATCATGATAGTTGGGCGGGCAGGGAAGGAAGCATTACAGAACTAGAGGAAAGTTGAATGTTTCACCGTTGCTACACTGCGCCCTGACTGGCTCATCTCCTCCTCGTGACCCTCTGTAAGGGGATGTCCAGTTACGCACTCCCCCTCAATCACAATGATATGATTTTTTGGTTTTTGATACCTGATACCTGATCCCATCAACACCTTGTGATCAAACAGGCTGGTGTGCTTCTTCCATGTGGGCTTTGTTACTTCTGAGCTAGATGGCCACTTGTTTATCTTCAAGCCTTTAAGACTCCAGACTCCATATCTTTTGATAGCCACACACCATCAGCTTTCTTCACCACATTTGCTTATGCACCCGCTTTTTCTTCAGCAATTGTATCGGGAAGGTGAGCATCATGGAATGCCAGTTTAATAGAACAAAGTGTTCTTGCATTGAGGGAGCACTTGAGTAGAGGCCCAATGTCCATCTGATACCTTAATACTAAACCTATAAATATATGCACATAGATCTATTTCCCCATCATATATAAATATATTTACATGTGTACATGCCTGTATATAGACCTCTATAAATGCCCTTTGCCTCCTAGATCTTTCCTCTATTTCCTTTTACTTTCCTCTTGTTCCACTATCATGCTCAGCCTTCATTTGGGTTTCAGTAATTTCTCTAGGTTACATTGCCCTTGATCAAGCCCTACCAGGCATGTTACACCCTCCTCACCACTGATTTTGGATCACTTGTTGTTCCCTTGTCCCTGTGTTTGCTAACACCACTTCCTTTCCCCTACGTCCCACCTCTCATGTCCCCTCCAGAACTGTCGTTTCTGTTGTTTTCTCCTCCAGATTATTTATACCACCTATCTTATCTAGATAGACCTGCAGAGATAATAATATGCACAAAAACAAGACAGAGCAAAAAAAAGCAACAAAAGCAAACAAAAAAACCAATGACCAAAAAAAAAGCCTGTAAACAGTTCAAGGTCTGTTTGTTGACCTTTAGGAGTGTTTTCTGGTCAAGTCTGATGGGGTGCCATGCCCTGGCCCCAAAGTCTATTTTTGGTATTCCCTCGATACTTCCTTGCTCTGCTCCCCTTGTTGTTCTGTTGCCCCCTCCACCCTACTCCCTAGTGTTTTGCCTCAGTGTGGTGGGGTCAGATCGGACAAAATTCCCACACTGTCTCTAGTGTTGTCCCCTGTAGGGCTATGGGTCAGTGAGTGATGTGGTGTCTCATAGTGGGGCCGGCCATCTGGTCCTCTCTGTGCATTGGCGGCTCTGAGCAGGGATATCATCCTCAAGGCTTGGTGGGCCAGGATGTGCTCAACACGCCCTTCCTCCCCTTCATTTGCACCTGTGTGCTCTGATCTAACAGGCCCCTCTCCCTGAGCTGTAGCTTCAGTGCTGTCCTCTGAAGTAAATTCTTCTGGGGGGAGGGGCGGCTGGGACCAGCTTTCTTACAGAGTAGGGAATGCCAAGGGCCCTGAACCTGCTCCCCATGGGGTGATGAGCTGAGTTAGGCCCCTGGAAGCAGAACATGCCTCTTTGCAATTTTCCTGCTGTGAGTCTTTGGACAAACCACACTACCTCTCTGATCCGTGTCTCTGAAGAAGACGGCCCTGGCCTTCGGTGCTGCATGAACAGTGGCGTGTGTAAGAAAGCAGTCGGCCCTGCAGGCATGTTGGCGGTACACTGGTTATGCACTCCGCTGCTGGTCAAAGGCCAGGGGGTGAACCCCTGTCACTCTGTGGGGTAAAGATGAGGCAGGCTGCTTCCATCAACAGGACTGCCGTGGAGCCCCTCGGGGCATCTCTGCCCCATCAGACAGGGTCGCTGGGAGTCCACCACGAATCCATGCTGGTGGTTTGGTTGGGTGCTGCTGTCTCATTACTGTCATAACACGGTTTCCTGAAACACCTGCATCTGGTGAAGGAAGCAGCAGACACATAGCAACCGATCTGGGAGCGTCTCAGCAGCCCAGCCAGGTCCACACAGGATCCGGCCGCCCAGCTGCCAGCCAGAGGGCTGGAGGAAGCGCTGGGTGTCCCAGGCTCAGAAGCCACCAAGGCGGCTGACTTGCCTAAGCATCCACCCTCTGCCAGGGTTCACAGCACACTGCCCAGAAGAGCAGAGCGGGGCACTGATGCCCCCTCCCGAGGCCCAGCCGCAGGCCAGCTCAGTCTTCCCTCACGGGGGCCAGTGGTCGTGCAGGACTCGGCCTGTGGGGTGCAGACGGCATTCCAAAGGCCGCAGGGAAACCTGGTCTGAACTCTCGGAGGTTGCTCCACCCTCCCCCGGCCGGGGCCCAAGCACCCTATTCTGCAGGAGTGTGTGTTCTGGCTAGCCTCGCCAAAGCAAGGGGTGATGGGAGAAATGGAGCTGAGATTGCCCAGAGCCACCAGTGGTAGCAGATGTCCAATTCCAGGCCTCAGAGGATAGCCTGGCACGATCCACCTGTGCCAGGCACAGCCAGGGCCACGGACTGGCCTCTACTCCCAGCCCCCAACGTTCAAGAGTAAGGCCTCCTTTTCCCTCATGCGATCAGTGACCCTACAGACCCTGCCGTTCCCAGGTCCTTCGAAGGCCAACTGGATTCCACCGAGAGCCCATCCCTGCTCCAGCCCCACCCCCGCCCTGGCCCACCCCTTTGCTAAAATCCACAGCAGGCAAGCAGCGACCACGTCCTGACCCTCGCTAGAAGCCAGAACTGCACCTCTGCTCATTTACTCCCCACCACAGGCCCAGGAGGAGGACACTGTTAGCACAGCTGCCTCGCAGACTGAGAGACTCTGAGTTAGAGACCTGTCTTGCCCGGGGTCCCAAGAAGTTGCAAGATCCTAAGGCAAGCATATTTCACTTCCCTGTTCCTGGAGCGTGCCTCCTGACCTGCCTTCCACCCACCCACCCCACCCCACCCCTGAGTCAGCGCTGAGTGTCTGAGTGTGCAGCACTGGAGACTGGAGACTGCAGTGTCTCCCTGGGAAATCCCCAAGATCAGACCCAGGCTGTCTTTCATTGCTCTTCCTCTCTTATCTCCCACAGCTCAGTTCTAATCAGGCACAGGCCCGAAGGGCATGATAAGCCTGTCTGTAGGCAACCTAGCAAACACCAGTGGAAGAGACGCCAATATCGGGGTCCTGCTCTTCACACCCCATCTAGGGGAAAAGCATCCAGCCAGCAAAGAGTCTTGACCAACTCTTGGGTCATGCCCACGTTTGAGACCCCACCTTCAGCCACACCATTGTACCTGGGAGGCCCTCTTCCAGAGGGGCAGTGTCAGCTCGCTGGTGGCCCAGGTACTGGGCCGTGGTCCTCGGGAAGCGGTGGTAGGCGAGCCGGGCATACTTCTCCCGGATCATCAGGGCCTTGGCCAGACTCTTGGCAGCCTGCTCATAGTCCTCCACTGTGATCTGCGGTTGGGGGGTGGGGTGGGGGGAGGCAAGGGGGAAGAGGCATTAGCCACACAGCAAGAACTGAGACTGTTCTTAGAGATCTCAAGGCTGATCCTGGCCAGCATGGGGGCCTTGCGTTTCAAGAGAGTTCCCACTATTCCTAAGAGGGGCCCATGTGTGCCTCAACTGTTTGTACAAACAACCTGGTCTGGGGTGTACACCTGCCTTCCTTCTGGGAGTCTAGAATTTAGGTTGGCACCGGGTAGAGGGTGCCTGCATGACCAACAGTCAGTGAGTTAATTCTGACTCATAGCAACTCCATAGGAAAGAATAGAGCCTTGCCGAAGGGTTTCCGAGGTCGTGAATCTTTATGGGAACAGAAAGCCTCATCTTTGTCCCATGGAGCGTCTGGTGGCTTCAAATTACTGACCTTCCCATGAGCAGCCCAACATTAGCTCCCTGAGCCACCAGGCTCCTCCTACATGACCAGCATCCTGGATGCCCAGGCTCTAGTGAGCTTCCTTGGGAGACAACACTTCACGCGGGCGGGCCGTCATGCTTCCATGTGACTCCCTTGGCGAGGACTCTTCCAAACAGGCCCTGGTTTCTACTGAGCCTCCCGCTTCCGCTTGGCTGATTCAGCTTGCAGCCTTTGACTCCCAGTCGTGTGGCTCCTCCCAGCTAATCTAGGGGGTGAGCTTCCAGAAGCCCCTTGTGAGAAGACAGTGAAGGTGACTTGGAGGGAGGCAGGGGCTCCAGCCTGCATAGCCCTGTTGCCAACGACCAAAGGTCTACTGTCGCACCTGACATGACGAGGCAAAGGCAGGTGGCATAGAAACAAGTCCTGTCCTTTTCCGTCGAGAAACCGCATAGGATCTTCAGGTGTAAAATTGAAAACAAGCAACAGCTGCATGCTCAGCCTGCTGCTTTTCCAACCCTGGCTTCCGGATTCAGATCAAAGCCATCACGCCAGCTCATGCAGTTAACAGACCCCGGTGAGATGCCAGAGCCCTTCCGTCGAGCTGTTTGGGCCTCATCCCACCCTGTTCCTCAAATGGGGAACTCAGACCCAACTCAGACTCCGCTCTGCCTGACTCCCAAAGCCCACGAGCAGGCCACTTCCCAGAGCTGAGTCCTAGCCCGCCAAGCCCCCGCTATGGAGTCAAGACTGACAAGTAGAAAACTTTTAGGACAGGCGAGAACAGCCCCTGTGAGTTTCTGAGACTGTAACTCTTTTAGAGGGTGGAAAGCCTCATCTTTCTCCCACGGAGCAGCTGGTGATTTCAAACTGCTGACCCTGTGGATCGCAGACCAACTCATAACCACTGCCTAGCAGGCAAGAGAAGCTAAATTAGCAATCCTTGGTGTCAGTCAAACCATGCCTTTGAATCCATTAAATATTTGGGGAAACTAACAGGTCCAAGATGATACTTTCTCCATAAACTGGGCCCGGAGACGACATAGAATTTAAAGCTCACAGCCCACATGTCAGCCCACAACCCCAGGCCCTTCTCCGGATGATGGGCCAGCCCTAGACACACTCAGGACGCAGAGCCTCGGCTAGGACCCTCCTACCATCTAGACCCCTATGCCTCTTCCCCTGCTGCTCATGACCTGAAACCCCCAATGCCACCTCTCCCTCCTCTGCACTCAAGGTGCACACAAACCCAGGCCCACCCACAAAGGAGTCAGCGGAGAGAAAGGAGTGGGCGACGCCTTACCCCTGCGCAGTAATCTCCGCTGATGGTGACCCGCTGGAACTCGGGCATGGCCTGGGAAGGGGGTCCAGTGACCACAGGGGTTGCACAGGGAGACATGGCCGGACTGGCAGCTGGAGGTCCCTTCCAATCTTGCTGTGTTGGCATTTGTAGAGACAGGGACTGGGACCGGATCATCTTGAAACTCTTCTTTCTGAGAATCGAGGAGCGATTTTGTCAAGTACTTCTAGCCTTAATGCCTGTCACCATGCTGCCTTCAGGGTGTATGGTTTTATGCCTGGTCTTAGGACTTCTGTGGAAAGATTCGGTGGGGAGTTTAGTTTTGGGATCGGCCGCTCAACGTGGTCAGAGCAAAACCGTGGATCACCATCAATTGCTGATATATAAATTCAGATTGAGGCTGAGCAAAATTCACGCAAGCGCAGGAGAACCAGCACGCAGCCTTAGGTCTCTGAATTTCGAGAACATCTCAAGAACAGATGAGCTGCACAGAAGGAAGACCTAATGAGCTGTGGGGTGACACCCGAAACATCAGACACGAAGAAGCAAAAGGCAATTGAAAAGACAGAAAAGGCTAGATTGGACATCAGAAGGCCGGAACGTGCCCTGGGTTGTAGAGAAGCTAAGGCAAGCTGACGAAATGGTGACGTAAAAGAGCTGAACTGAACATTTCAAAAGGCAGCTGGAGAAGACAACGCATTATAACGAAACAGGCAGGAACCCCGTCTGAGAAAACCCAAAGGGAAGAACACACTCAGCAGATCTTGAACTAGAATAACTAAACATAAAACATAAAAGTTTACGCCTCGAGTTGCAGTAGTGAGCGATTCTGTGGGCAAAACATGGAACAGTGCAGGAAGCATCTGAAGAAGATTGGAGGAAGGCTTATTAACAACCTTAAGTCAGCAGATGAGACAACCTTGCTTGCTGAAAGTGAGCAGGACTTGAAGCACCTGCTGAGGAAAATCAAGGACTGCAGCCTAAAGCCCAAATCCCCACAACTGGCCCAACAGGGGCCATGGTGAGAAATGGAGAGTGAAGATGAAAGCCGTCAAGGGCTCCGTCTTGGTTGGATCGGTTACATGGCAGGCTTCTGGTACAACCAGATTCCCAGTCATCTGACTTGTCCACTGTCACTCAAACCGCGCCTGTACTCCTGGAGGCCCTTTTATTCATGGCCCCATTGATAGTTCATCTTACTTGTATCCACAGTCAATGCTCATGGAATCAGCAATGAGGAGCTCAAACAGCACATTGTCCTGGGTACATCTGCCGCATGAGACCTCTTCAAAGTGTGGAAAAAGCAAGATGGTACTTAGGGGACTAAGGTAGGTCTGACCCCAGCTGTGGTGTTTTCAATGGCCTTACATGGTTGTGAAAGTCGGACATTAAAAAAGGAAGACCGAAGAAGAATCCATGCCTTTGAATTCTGGTGCTGGCACCAAATCAGGAAAGTACCGCGGGTTGCCCAATGAACAAATGCATCTGTCTTGGAAGAAGTACAGCCAAAATGCTCCTTAGAGACAAGGATGGCAAGACTTGGCTCATGTACATTGGACATGCTATCAGGAGAGACTAATCCTTGAAAAAGAGGCATCACCCTTGGTAGCAGTAGAGGGGCAGCCCCAAGAGGACGTGTCTGGACCCGATGGATTGACCCCAGCAGCTGCAGTGATGGGCTCCGGCATAACTGGGAGGGTGGTGTAAGACCAGGCGGTGCTTTGTTCCGCTGTACACGGGGTTATTGTGAGTCAGAACCAATTTGGTGGGAGGTAACAGCGAACAACATGCCTGTGATTATAATCCCACACTGGAGGGCGTTCTGTTACAGGAGTAAAGTGATCAATCCAGCCATAGTCTCTACCTTAGCCACGGGTGTGACTTCAATCACCCCCTTCATGTTTCTTCAGGCTAGGGTGCGCTGAGAGACAACAACCACACCTCTATCAAGGCCTTCCCTGTGTGACCTCCCCTTCGTAACCGTGTCTTGGCGGAAGCAAGAGACCAACACTTGAACGGTGTCCTCAGGAGTGACCATGCGATTGTGGAAAATAGTGAAGACAGACAGAAAGACAGCGGGGGCAAAGGGGCTCCTTGTCCCTCTGTCAGAACCGAGAGAGTGTCTTTTCCAGTGGGTCTATATGATGGGGCTTACAGATCTCTCAAAAGGCATATGGGTCATACAGCAAACATATTACACAATCAATGGGTAATATCATAAGCAGGTAACATCATAAACAGACAATCAAATGACTCAGCGTTTTGACCTAGTTTCAGTTGCCCTCAGACGCCCCAGAGCCCTCCCCAGCGGAGCAATCAGTAGAGGATGTCACAAGAGAGTCTGCTACACTTTACCATGGGACAGGCAATAGAACCTGAATGCCCTTATCTACAGATAACCCTCAGACGTAGTGCAGAGCTAGACACAGGAATGATTCATCTTTTATAGTGGCTCTGCTGACTTTCCAGCCACCACCGCCTTCTTTCCAGCTTCACACCCATTGCTTGCCAGGCTCCTCTGGTTCTAACTTGCCCACCTGTGCTGCCTCTTCTTCAAGGACCAAGTGGTCTATGCCCGGAAGATGGGCTTGATCCCTTTTCAGTTTCCCTTTGCCCTGGTCTTGCGTGCCACTCACTTAGCTGCTTCTGGAAATTCAACCTGAACTCAGAGAACCCCTGATCCAGGCTTCTTTCATCTGTCCTCTGTCAGCAGGAGCTGAGCTAAGCATCTCTTCCAGAGCAAGGCCCCAGGCCATGCCAGGTAGTGAGTGAGTGAGTCCTCCCTTTGGAAGGTGAGGTCCTCCCTTTGGTATTTGAAGACGATCACACCCACAGGAAGAGCCACTCGATGGGTTTTCTTCTCACATGCTGACAGGCTCATCCAGGTCCCACAAGGCTCTGAGTTTCTCTGTCACCCACATGCTTACCACATCGCTTTTTTTTTTTTTTTTAAACTACTGTGTAGACCTCACCTCTGAGGAGAAGCAACAGGTAAGGTTTGAAGGGGAGAGCGGGGTAGAGAGCATGCACCACAGTTGGGAAGCTGGAAGACCACTGGGGCCAAGAACCCACCACTGTTGCCATTCGCTGCCATCAGGTCGGCCCACGTCACACTGCTCCACAGAACTTGCTTGGCGATCATCGTTACCACGGCAGAATAGCAGGCATTTCCTCTGTGGGGCCGGGGGCCAGCATTGTCCTAGGAACGCCCTTAGTCTTCTGCTCCAGTGAGGAAGGCAATGTCCCCCAGTCCGTGTCTCAGAATTCGCCTTGAAGACACATGCTGTGGCTACGGCACTGGACTTCAGACATTCACAAGGCAGGAGCTCAAGCTTTATGGGCACAACAAATTGGTTCAACAGTGGATGGGTCGGCTCTTCGGGGACCACTCACCTTGGCCAGGGGCATGGAGTAAACAAAAGACAATCCCTGAGGTTCTCTCTTAGAAAGTTGGAAAGGTTCAACAGAGCCCAACCAAGGAGAGCCCCGTATTCACGCTCTCCCGCCAGCATAGCAGATGGTCACAAGTGGACATTACTTAGAAAAGAACAGGAGCTGTGGAGTCCACCCCAACGCAATAGGATCATGTGTGCCATAGAATTACTCTGCAGAGGGTTTTCAGTGATTGATTTTCCCAGAAATAGATCACCAGACCTTTCTTCCGAGGCACCTTCGGGTTACAGTTCAACGCACTGCCACCAATTCCATGCTGACTTACAATGACCTTGCAGGACAAGGTAGAACTGACCCTGTGGGTTTGGGAGACTGTTTGCAGGAGTCGAAAACCCCGTCTTTCTCCCTTGGGACAGCTGGTGCTTTTGAACTGCTGAACTTGCAGGTCACAGCCCAACTCATAACCCCTCTGTCACCAGGGATCCCCTTTTGGGTCAAGCCATCCGTCTGTTATTGAGCTCACAGTTCTGTCAGTCAGAAATCTGAGTGGGCGTGGCTGGGTTCCAGGTCCAGAATTATCTAGGGGCCAAACTCAAAATGTCCTCATAGCTTTACCTGAATTACAGTAGCATAAGGTCTTCTGGTGGCATGGTGGTGACACACTGGGCTGGGATCTGCCAGATCAGCAGTTCGAAGCCACCAGCTGCTTAGCAGGAGACAGACAGGTCTTTCACTCCCGCAAGCAGATTGTCTCAGAAAGTCACAGGCCCACTTCTACCCTGTCTTAGAGCTTTGCTCTGAGTCAGTATTGACTCAATGGCAGTGGGTTGTTTATTTTCGAAGATCTGCTGGCTGGAAAGAACTCTAAAGACACCCCCACCCCAGCCCTCCCGCGAAGGCAGCCTGAACCTGAGCACCTCCCATGGCAGAGAGCTCACCCCATTCCTGAATAGACCTCAGCACCCAATCGTTCATTCTCCAAACATTGACCAAGCCCCCATCTGGACCAGGCTGGCAAACACGACGCTGAACAAGACATGGGCTGCTGACACTGGGAGAGGGCACTTCTAAGACTGGCCACCACCTGCCTGTCCACACCCACACCTGCTGCACTTGGTGCTGTCAGACAACCTGCAGAGGGCAGTGTGCTTCTGAAGGCTCCTGGGAAAGCAGAGGGAGGGGGGACTGGAACAGACCCCTTTCCACTAGCTCCCAAATACGCACCCCAAGCCTGTGTGTGGCCCCACTGCACTCAATGCCACAGCGTGGAAGGCCCCGAGGGTAAACGGCGAACAATCTGGGCCCAGGCAGTCCAACAGCACATGATCACACGTGGCGTTGGCTGTAATGAGATGCCCAGAGTATTTTGGGATCCCAGTGGAGACAACTAATCCATGGCAGGGTCGGGGAGGCTCCGGTCCATGACCCTAGGGTTTGGCGTTGGTGCATCCATTTTGCTCCAGACACTAATTTCAGAGGTAAACAAAGCCTGCCTCCTGGATGCCGTTTTTTCTTCTTGTTTAAGTCTTGGGTCAGTGAGGGTGCCTTCTTCACATTTGAAACACATAATTCCTACATGCACAATCAGCGCCCGCTGGGCACACTGTGAAGCTTCCGTGGTGACTCACAGTCATGATCTTGGATGCCAACGGCATGCCATCCAGTCACGGTGGTAGCATCTCTGGCCTTAGGATGCTTGCGTCTGCGCTTGTCGTGACCCTCCCGTGCCCTCCCTCCCTCCCTGTTGGCAATGAAGACAACACCCTAATGACATGCCGGCTCGTGCTAAGTAAGCATTGT